AAAAAAAAAAAAAAAAAAAAAGAAAGAAAAAAAAAGAAAAAATTAATGCTGTTACAGATTTCAGTAAGACATCAACATTTTTTACAACTCTTCTCGTGTTTTTGCCAGACTACAACTTGAACTTCTCCATCTTTTGTATATGTCAGATTAATCCAAACCAAAAGTTTACCTCTCAGGTGTTTTTAAATCAGTCTTGTGTGAAACTGCTAGTTCCAACAGTGTCAATTCTTAAGTCACTTTCTGCAGAGTCCCATTGTAATGCAACCTTAAACTTTTTAAGTCTTGGTAGAAAAAAATGGTGAGTATTCAGTTTTGATAAGCCATTTGTGTTGAAAGTGAACTGTAAAACTATGTTCATGTGTAGTAAAATAGCTACACAGGAAATGTATTTGGTTTTCTGTTGTCCAAATTGATGTTATTACTTATAGTTGTAGTAACTTCTTATTCAGCTGTTGTACCTATGTCCTGTCCTATCCTGTTCTTGTCTCTCTCTATCCAAGTCAGACATGTAATAGACATGGTATTGGGGTTTATCATTGGAAAACTCAGAAGTTTAATTTTGTATAAGACTGCCTGCATTCTGCAGCTGAGAGAAGCTCATGTTGCAGCACGTTCACGCTGGCTCTTGTACCTGTGCGTATCCCTTCTCTTGTCCACACAGCAGCCTGCTGTATCACTAAAGCTGGGTGCAGTTTGGTAGAAATCCCAGGGATTCCTGCACAACTTACACAGGGTCCCTACTTCAATGCATGCTCATTGTATTTTAGGTCACCTGCTAACATTATAAGGAATTCTGGGTGTTTGACCATTTGATTCCTCATTCCCATTATTTCCTCTTCTCTGTCCCATAACTCATCTCTGCACCATTTCCAAATGGTCACTGCAAACGTGGATGACACAGAGGAAGAAATGTGCATTTCTGCTGTACTTAAGACTCCACAGCTGCTGCAGGATGAATATCAAAACTGAAATGTTTAGAAAAAAAATTAACAGCACACCTGAAATTGAGGGAGTATTTCAACTTCGTCAGTCTAATTGAATTTTTATCCAGAAACCCTGCTTTTTCCAAAGAGCAAAACGCCTAATTTCCACTGTACATTCCCAAACCAATGCATGTTCTTTTAATTCTAAAATGCAACAGCATAATCTGGTTAAAATATTTGACTGGCAAAACTGAAACCTATTTACATGCCTTAAAAAAAACAAACAAACCACCAGTTCTGTAGTTTACCATTATCTTTCAATGGGATGAGTGACTTTTCAAGGCTACTTCTATGCATCTAGAGAGCAGTGAAGTTGTTTATTCTCAATACTTCCACAAATCATTCTAGAAAAAAAGTGTCCTCTGTCTTCAACTTAGCCATTTTTCACTGCTTGGTATTTACTACTGTGAACCTAACTTCAGTTCATCAGTTTGGTTTTCTGTGCTTTCAACACTTGAGTATTCTTATGGAGAGTTATAGTATGAGAGTTATATTATCATCATGTTTCTTATTCCTTTTCCTTATCAGTCTTGACTTACTAGAACTAAATTGTAGAACCTAAATTATTATTATGCTTTGGTAAAGAATTTTTTAAGGTAATTCATGTCTAATTGATGTAGTACAAAGCAACATAGTAAACAAGTTTATATCCTTTAATTCCTTATATTTTGTGTTCTGCAGCTTCATAAATTGAGTGAAACAGCATGCTTCACTCTGTGGAATGAATAAGAAAGAAACTGTTCTACTAACAGTTAATGTTGCCTTTAGGGTTTTCTCTCTTTTGCAGACAATTTGAAAGCACTTTTTTTTCAGACAGTTTTGATTTTGGGCAAGCCCCCCCTATATGTCCTTGTGAGACTAGGCTATAGTTCATGCTGATGAATGCAAGCCTATGCTACTTTTGCATTGCTGAAGAGTGGAATTCTACAGTAAAGGGCATACTTGGCAGTTTTGTGTGCCTATCAGGAGTACTATTCTGGCTCCCAGCTATTTCATGGTATCTCTGAAGTTGCAGCTCTCCGTACAGATGGAGAGATTTGAATGCAGTTGTACATATTTACTTTCTTCTGTATTTTCTTCTAAACTTCTTTTTTCTTTTCTTTTCTATTCTTTGGCGCAGTGTAAACTGCAACTAAGTTAAGAATAACTCCTAATATAGAATAGGAATTAGTACATGTATGCAAACAAAATAATTTAGGACTTCATTGGAAGCATGGCTTATTTCAGAATAATGGGGTAGTTGAGGCTAGTTCAGCAAACATTGTTATTTGCATGTGCATGATGTTTCTGATAAATTATTGGCAAAATTACCTGTTTGTAACAGGGCATAGTCAAGTAATTAAAACCCTATATCACCATAATTTGTCTATATTCTGAACCTTTTTAAAAAAAGAAAAGGGTAGGGATGAGGAAGAGGGAACCACCCCCATTGTGTAGTTCAGAAAGGTAGTTGCTGGTTTTTAAAGTCTGGCCACACAGGAATACCAGTATGCTCTGTTGTCGAAATTCTTCCAAGGTAGATGGAGTTTGTTAACAAAGGCATACTGTGTACCACTGTAGGAAAACTACTCCCTGAGAAGCTCTATAGTAAAAGTACAGATGTGCCAGTATATTTGTGTTTGCACGTGGGGCTTCTGCTGGACCAACTGTGCTAGTCAGATATCCTTTCTTTTCACATCTGTGGTAAACATAGCTCAGGTGCCCAAAGTCTGTGCAGTAGACCTGATCTTGTTTGCATTTCTGTTAGAAATTCCAGGGAATGCATTTTCATTGTGGTCCACAGGATAGTAAACTCATTCAAATAGATATAAAAACAAGGAAAAAATTATTGACAATCTATGAGAGAGAGAGCCTTGACTTGAGTGTTTGCCAGCTAAAAAGAATTGTGTTTAGAATGGGAAGTCTTATTTCCAAGAAAGGAGTTGATAACAAGTGGTTGGAAATTTAAAACAAATTAAGTACTTGATAGTGCTGATGTTAAAACTGTATACGTTCTTGTTCAGTATAGCCCCAAAACAGATTTCATTTAAAAAATTGCCAAATTAATTTAAATATTTTTATTTTTATACGCTTCTAATTTGTTTTTTAAAATGTATAGTGAGGAAATAAATGCACTTCTCTCTGTTTTAATTGGAAACATTAAATTAGAAATATTTTGCCTTATCAGGTGTCATGAATCTGGTGCACAGCATACTAGCAAATAACGAATTTTTCTCAGAAGCATGCATAAACACAAAACTTCATATAAATTGAGATTATTTGGGGCGGGAGGGGGAGTGGTAATGGAGGGTGGAGGCATAGGTGATGCTGAAGAGTAAGAAGTGTGAATGTGTGCTTCATAAGTGATATGCACATGAATCCAGAATTAAGTGGCTCAACTTCTGTTTTATTTAGTACTGGCTGATTTTAAAAAATGTAAAGTTTCATAATGTACTTAGCACTATATACCTAGGTAATTTGAATATCAGTTTTATGTCTTCTGAAATTTATCAAAACTCAGAACCTTGAGAGAGTGCATTGCAGAAGTTAGGAATTGTAAACGTTACTTATTCTTGTGTTTTAAAAATGGTGTGTCTGGCTGGTAGAAGCGAAGTTCTGCATGGTGTGTAAAAGCTGAAGATGATAGTCATGTAGGTGTGTGTTTTCATCTATATAACTTTGTACTTAAGAAATAATTACTCTGAAGGAAATGAGAGCAGCATGATCAAGTGAATTGGGGTCTGGGAGAAAGTTCCTTGCTTTCCTATTGGCCTGGTCACTTCACCTCCCTGTGGCTCAGTTTCCCTATCTGTGAAGCAGGGGCAGCAGTGACCTCCTCTATAAAGTGATTTGAGATCTACTGATGGAAAGCACTGTATGAGGCCCAAGTATTACTTTTACTGAGAGTTCATTATTATGTTCATGTTTTCTTTTCCGTTCAGGAGACAAATTTATAATGGTTTAATTTTGGTTAATAAGAGTTCAGCTTTTACGCACTACTTTGCCTTCAAGCAATAACTAATACAGTTTTGGTTTTTGGTTTCTTTTTTCTTTTTCATTTGGTAAGTTTTGCATTTTTTCCTTGAGACTTAAGAAACTGTTTTGTTCTTTGTAGCTGAGCCAATAACGTTTCCATCTGGAGGAGGCAAGTCTTTTATTATGGGTTCTGATGATGTTTTGTTAAGTGTACTGGGCCTTGGAGACCTTGCAGACTTGACAGTAACAAATGATGCAGACTATAGTTATGATGTAAGTGCAATTTTATTTTTAAATTATTTATACGGTTTAATTTAGTTATTTTCAGAACATTCCAAAATTTTTAAGATGGATTAATTTAGTAGTGAGTGCTGTTATATTGGGGGAAAGCATGCTTCATGAGTTTGCAAAGCAGTTTGCAAAATCAAGATGAAATATGATTAGATTTTTAATTAAAGAACTTGTAATTCACATTTGTGACATGTAAAATACAAACAAGTTCTATATTCATATAGAGATTTATCCCCAATACTAAGCACTAAAAGATGTGTAGGTAAATCTTTATAGTAACTTTTATATGTCCCCTTTTTTATTAATGTCATCTGTGCAAATTGTATATAGTAGTATGTGATGGCTTAACTTTTTAGTGTTAATTTTAGTATAGATTTGTGGGATATTTTTATTTTATTATCCCAGTGTGTTCTCAGTTTCTTTCATATTGCATAACATGACATTCTATGCATAATATATTGCATAATATTATTGCAAAAAATGCATAACAATTTTTATATGAAATTGTTATTGGTTTGTGAAGTTTATCGTGGGAGTATGTCCAGGTAAGTCTTTATACATTGAAATCTATTTAAAATTATATTGCATTTATGGCATGGATCAGTAAGATCCTTTTGATTTGTTGGTTGTTTTTATAGCTTTTTCTGTAATCTTGAGTGTATAGTTCCATTTTTTAAACTAAGATTATGTACCACTGTTTCTGTTGGAAACCATTTTTGGTGATTACTCAGATTTCTTTTTAAATGCCTTGTGAAATGAAAACTTAAATATTTATTGCATTACCATAGTCTAAAATTATAATAAATGTTGTTAGTCAACATCTTTTTTGGTTTTGTTTTTAAAAATTTTTTTGTTTTATTTAAAAATGATTTGCCAACATATTAATGCTATAAAGCACTTAACTTTGTCTTATTTTAGAATTTAATAGCGCACATTTCTTCTTAAATGACAAATAAAAACATGAATTGTTTATATTTCTAACATCTTTATAATGGCCAATCAATTATTGTATTCCTTCAAAAAATCTAAAATAGAGATAGTGCAAGAACCACATACATATACATCAGGACTTTTAGATCTCAGAACAGTGATTCTCAATCAGGGTGTTGCAACACCTGGGGTGCCTTGAGATCCTTTGAAGGATCTATGAATGTTTCACAAGATAAACTTACATTTTTTCAAATAACAATTTATACTAGTAAAAACATTCTGACCTTCTGTGATGTTTCCGTGTTTGTTGCATCAGAAGAATTGCTCTATTATTTATAGTAAAAAAAAAAAAAAAAAAAAAAGAGGGGAAAACTAACAGCTGGCATTTTTTGAGGCATACCTTGAGCCTAACAAAGAATGCTATGACTAAAAAGATTGAGGATCACTGTATTGAAATAAATAGCCTCTATCACATACTACATTTGTTAGCTTTAAAGGTGAACTGTGAAATCCAAATGCTTTAAAATTAAATTTACTATAGTATTAATATAACAAATAACATCAAGAAATAGGGCAATTAACTTCAACTGTCAGTTTAAATCTTAATCTTTAAGACATACAACTCTGCTGTCTTATAATTTGTTTTACTACTATATGGTCTTGGGGTAACAAGATTTACTCCAGTCCAATACAAAATGTAATTCAATACAATATAGATAATAGGAAGCAAACTAGCATTTTTGGGTAGTTTGTACAGTAAATTATAGTATATTCAGTTTTCATACTTTGCTTAATTTTCTAACGTTTCAGTGAAATCTATAAACAGGCCATTTTCAAAACCATTTTCTATAATGTTTAAAGTATGAACACTTTAAAGATAACGGCCTCTGATTTTGAGATAAACCATTGTTTTTTAACACACAATGAGTTTTATGCTCTAAAATACAATAACATTTACAGCAATGTATTAACTTTAATTGCCTTAAAACAGGGGTATCAAATATGCCTGGGGCTGAGTCCAAACTTCTGGGCTTTTCCTGGGCTGGATCTGTAGGGTCAGTGGCTGCAATGGTGGGGTGGGTGTGGTGGGCCAGGTGGTATCAGGGTGTGCAGGGCTGTCAGGCCCTTGGTTGCCTCCCTGCCACCAACAACCATGTCTGGCAGAGTCCACGGATCCCAAATTCTGTGGCAGGCCACATGCATGACAGCCCTGACTTAAACTGGTTTCATGAAGTACCTTAATTTAGGGGTGTACTGATAGAGATTTTTGGAGCTGATACCGATAGCCAGTTTTAAGGAGGTAGATCTGCTGATACCAATCCACTTTCCAGTACACAGCTCTTCAGCTTAAAGAGCTGCATCCAACTGGTAAATCTGGTGTGGTGGAAGAGGAAGGAAGGGGTGTGTGGGGGAACAGATCAAGGCCCCTGTGGTGAGGGAGGGAATGGGGCTGGGGCAGGTGCTGACCAGATGGGCGGGGGCG